CGCACATTCCACCCAGTCTTTTCCAGACTGATGATCTTCATAGGTGACGAAGAACACACAGCACTCACTCTGATTGAAGTCACTTGATGAGGTATGTGTATCTATTCGGGGACGCTTTGCAGGTCTGCTGTTTCGTTCATTGTCACCTGCTCTCTTTCTTCCAGCACTAGCGGCCCTGCTCTTTGTCCTGTGAGCTTTCTCTTACTCCTGAGCCTTCTGTTTTGCTTTTAGCTCCGCCTTCTTTGCATGCTCCTCCGACCTCTTTTTTAGTTCTTCTTTCCTTTTTTGCTTCTCTTCTCTCCTTTCTCTTTCTTTCCTTCACCTCAGCTTCTTCCTTTTTCGCTCCTTTTCGAGCATCAACTCCACAGCTGTTGCACTAGTCAATGGACGAGAATGTTGTAGTGCTTTTGTTTTGCCTGAGGGAGTGGACTGAGGCATGAGTGACCCTGCCGCTGACATGATCATAAAGAGTTGTTTTTGGGACATCATAATCTCGTGCAGCTTTTGACACTGTGCAAACTTCTTGTACGGCCTTAATTGCAGCTACGTACCATCGAGTCTTGCATTCCAGGCTTTGCACGTGTGGTGCCTTTTAGGACTCACTTAGCAGCGGGCGCAGAACTAGAGCGTTATCTTGCAGAGAAGGCGCGTCTCCTGCAATGCATATCCATCCAAAAGAATGATCCTGGAGGGTATTAAACAACTCGTAGTTATCAGTTCCATGTAAAAGGATTACAAAAAAACCTACTTTCACCGACAAAACTTCGTCCTGGACAGGAGACGAAGAAGTCCGTGTAATTTCCACATTTTACCGTATTCTTTTATGCCCGCACGGGCATTTGATAATTGCCACCGTACACTAAGTTATGTCTTCAGCACCAGCTTGTCAAAAGAACATGTTTCTTCTGCCACAGATCCTGCAGTATTAGTAGTAGTAGTATTCACCCCATAATGCAGGTATGTACAGGAGCAGCCTCTTTTCCCTCTCCACGACCGGCTCCTTCCTCACCACCACCAGCGCTGTGTGCAGAGGGGTCAGGAAGGCCAAAACAACTCATACAAGTCTGTTTGATCGCGCAGGCGTGGGTCTGGGCACTGTCCACCCCGGGGGGCCCGTTTAAGCAGGCATGCTGAAGGCCACTTGCTGCCACTTGTGAAAAAAAGAAAGAGAGAATGGCAGAAACACACAGATAGACACCAATCTCCACCCTGAAGCAAAGAACTAATCAAACTCACACCATATGTACACATCACCAGTGCATTGAATTTTTGAGGAATGTTGGAACCTTTACTGCAGTTCTGTTCGTTGGTAGTGCATTGAAGTTGCTTGAGTCCACTACCACTGAGCACAGCAACTGAGTGCACTACTACGTTCACATGGGTGCATTACTCATGTGCAAAATGAAATCGACTGTTTCTCGTTTGAGGATGTCTTGCAGATCAATTTCCTGACCCTGCCATTCAACAGCAACGGTCAGATACGCGATAATCTTTAGCCGGTTATGAAACGTTAGTTTCGAGTACTTAAACCGAGTTATATCTTTGACACCAGCTTGGCCAAAGAACACTTTTCTTTTGCCATAGATCCTGCAGTAGTAGTAGTGGTAGTATTTACCCCATAATGGAGGTATGTACAGGAGCAGCCTCACCACGGCCGGCTCCTTCCAGCAGCGCTGTGCGCAGAGGGATCAGGAAGGCCTAAAAACTCATACAAGTCTGTTTGATCGCGTTGCTTGAGGCAACTGTACGTAAAATCACCACTCTGGAAAAAAGCAACCCAATAGGCATCAACTGGTTATGGCACAGATTCAATGTGCTGCAGTGTGGGCTCAGTCAATCAGAGTTCTTCTACATAATTATTACCGCCTCAGTGTGATTTATTGATCATGTTGCTGCTGAGTTAGACACAAGGTTTTTATGAAAGACTTGTTACTGTCTAGCATTTAACACCTATTTCGAACTCAATATGAGGTTATTGTGATGGTCTTGTTAGTGACAGAGTAAAGACGTTGCACTGCAAGATTAGCGTTAACAGCCGTTCCTTCAGTTTACAGTATACAGAGACTTATTTCAAAAAACAGAAAGTGTATAGGCTCAAAAATTCCTTCGCATAATTAATCCTGACCCAATTTCCGGTGAGTTTCTGCTGCTCTTCTCCGAGGAACTGAGTGACGTCAGGCAAAAAACTCTACTGTGGTTCTGTACACCTGTGCATAGAGTCTTAATATACTGAGTTTTAAGTTGCAACCCTGATATGTCTCATCTGCAGAGCCGAGGTCCGATCACGAACCATGAGTGCAGTTTAACACAGGGCATTTTTGTGCCCCCCTTTGAGTGCCTTGACACCTGTACAAGTCTGTAGGAATAGGGCTGCTATAATCACTAACTACGGTAGTACTTAATATATAGGGATTGACATGGTACCTAGCATCATAGATGTATGGGGCTATGATAGGGAGTTTTATTCATGTTCTGCTTCTTCTTCTTCTTCTTCAGATTCAATACCCATAACCCAAAAACGAAACAACATACACTAATGAAATTTTGTAAGAATGTAGATATCCGTCACCCGAAGAGACTGGTCATACTTATTTCTTTGTAAACAACAACAAATAGCCCCAGGCAATACATTATAAAGGGATCACATGTGTCAGTAAAACTCACAAATGGTAGGAGCTATGTGAACGAAACTTTTAGACATAATGTATTCAATCACCAACATCAAAATCACAACAATACATGTTTGTAAACAACAACAACTAGCCTCAGGCACTTTTCTTTAAATTTACTTCTTCACTCCTCAAACTTTCCAACGGTAGCACGCATAGAGATGAAACTTGGTATGTATGCCTATTATATCATTCCCATGACAATTACATCTTTCCTTGACGACTGCATTTTGTTTGAAAAGCCTCAGGCAATTTCTTTTCTTCACTCCTCAAACTTGCTAACTGTAGCACGCATGGAGGTGAAACTTGGTGCGCATGTGTATTACATCGTCTCCATGACGACCACAACAACAAATAGCCTTAGGCACTTTTCTTTAAAATTACTTCTTCACTCCTCAAACACGCTAACTATAGCACGCATGGAGGTGAAACTTGGAGCGCATGTGTATTACATCGTTTCCATGACGACCACAACAACAAATAGCCTCAGGCACTTTTCTCACTCCTCAAACTCGCTAACAGTATCACACATGGAGATGAAACTTGGTACGCATGTGTGTAACATCGTTTCCATGACGACCACAACAACAAATAGCCTCAGGCACTTTTCTCTAAAATTTCTTATTCACTCCTCAAACTTGCTAACAGCAGCACACATGGAGATGAAACATGGTACGCACATCATTTCCATGACGACAACAGGCATTTTTCTCTAGTATTTTAATTTTTATAGGGGCTTGCCCCATTCCACAGAGATAATACGTAGTAGTATATAAAAATGAGTGGAGACAAGTAAATAAAAAATCCTGCGAATTTAAAAAAGAGGCATATAGGGATCGTATAAAAAGAAAGGGAGACAAGATAGGGATGGGATACATGAAGCATGGGTAATGAACAGATTTGAGTACGCTGACACCCCCAACCCCATCACACAATCCCTATATTGTTGCCTAGGTGAAGTATTAAACATTCACCAATACAATACTCAGAACTTACAATACACTACTGAGTAACCAACACCCTTATAGAGTCCAAGTGGAGTTTAAAAGACAATTGGGCTGTATAAATGTTACTAAAAACAACAGGGACACGGTGAAAGAATGCTTGCTTTTAAGAGTAGCACACCAGGCAACAATATAGGGATTGTGTGATGGGGTTGGGGGTGTCAGCGTACTCAAATTTGTTCATTACCCATGCTTCATGTATCCCATCCCTATCTTGTCTCCCTTTCTTTTTATACGATCCCTATATGCCTCTTTTTTTAAATTCGCAGGATTTTTAATTTACTTGTAAGCAGTACTGCTCTGTGGTCCTGGTTCTGCCGCATAGTTATGCGGGTTGGTATTTGGACATAAATATCTTGATAAACATTCATACCCAATTATAATTGTTCCTCCAGTCTTACAAATCAGAGTCATTGCTAAAGGCTAAGGTGATTATGCTTGACGAGAAGCTAGCGTAAGATCTGACACACAGGCAGTGGAAAAGTGGGAGTTCAGAAGGGCTGCAGCTTCTACTGAACCGGTCCGGAGCCTTTTGACTGACGTCACTCAGGAGAAACTGAGCAGGAGAAACTTACCAGAAGTTTAGTAGCCGCTAATTGCAGAAACTTATATATAGCCATGACGCTTGTGCATGCAGGAACAGACTACATCCCTAAACCTAATGCTTAATGCAGGGGATGTATCAAAGGCATAATAAATCTTTGTCAGTTGTAATTTTTGTGCTAAGCCTTTTTAGCAGTACTGGTTAGCTATGCTTTTCAACTGTAGACTGATAGAAACATCATATTCTGAGTGTAAGCGTGAAGGCATGCTTAATGTGCGGCACATCTGCTTTTCTTAGTCCTGAGGATGAGAGTTGGAGTTCTTTCGCTGGCTAGATGGGCATCGAGGCCGGGGCAGATAGCTAGAGCTAGGCAGCATGTAGAAAGTTTGAAATAATTAAGAAGCGCGTAATCCAAACGCATGCGCAGTTGGATGACACACGGTCCTATATATATATATATATAAAAAGAGGAAAATTGTGCCGTTCGGACCACTAGGTTCGGACCACCCACTCGCCAATATATTCTGCATTCACTCCCCTAGGTGGGCTCGCTTTGCTCACCAATTACATCCGATTGAATATTCTAACACCAATGCAATCCTTACAACTTTACTTTTCTGTACTAGCCAATAATAAAAACATGCCCGAAGTATAATTATTGTGCCTGTATAAATAGTTTACACAACCACTGTGAATGGGTAAGGCTTGAAAACATGCACATAACTGCATTTTGAGCACGCAGTTGTGTGGCTAATTATCATTATGCTTGTTTTACATACGTAGGTGTAACTTCTGCAAGTCATCTGGCCATATCTCATCCTTGAAGATACCATATGCCTGCAAACTACTCTTCCAAGAATTGCAGTCTATGAATATTGTTCCACGTCTCTCTCTGACTGATACTATTGGATAAAAACATTTTATCACCTCTGCATAATATTATAGCACTTCTGAGTATTATTATGTGGGTATGAGTTGGCATGTGTATTTCCCTTTGTTTGTAATGTATGCTCGCTGTAGGATGAGTGTTAATCGCACCCATGGGCATTCGTTCTTTGCCGTTGCCTTCTGACCTTGATTATGCACGTTCTCTATCTGCAGCAAACAGGGGCATCTCACCAGAATTAAAAGCCCAAACAGTACTGTGGAATCATCAGAAAGTATAACGAGAGAGTCTTGCATGTTGTCTAGTAGTAGGAAACTCTAGCAGGAGACCGGGAGTAAAGGTTGATGGAAATCAATTAGTATATCGTTCATGTTCAATGCACGTTTCTTGTGCACCAAGGGATGGTATTTCTGGTATAATAGCAGGAGTATCGCTAACCTACATGTATTTTGCATTGAAATTTACACACATCAGAACACTCTCCAGCGTACCTCTCGTCATTCATTGCTACAGTCAACTGTCACTAACTCACTCATAAGTGACGTGAATTTTTCAGAAGAGGAAGTTATGGAAAGGTTATATTATTCTTAACTCACGCCACGAAAATAATTATGCCAGGCAGAGGGGTCTGCTCAGAGCACCTCTAGTGCGCTTCTTTTATCGCTGAGCCTCTTGCTACATTTTTTCACTTCAGTTGTCAGAAACGGCGAGGGGTATTATGCCGGTTTGCATTCGAGACGTGTCACGAATCCCATATATATGAATTAAATAGCTAACTGGGGGCCTTAAACCCTAGGAGTCAGCTCTGCTCGACATTTGCGACAACTAGTTAGCTATTCATAATTATAATGTACACGTATTGATAATCTGTTTCCCTGCATATTGTACCTATTGCATAATATGTGTGTACTACTTATTACATGAATGTGCCAATAAGTCTGCACCGAGGGTTCAGCACTTCAGTGCTTTTCATTTTTGATTAGTATCCACCTACTTCCTACACTGCAATTTGAGTTCAAATCCGGTTCTTCAACATTTTACACACAGGCGGGAATGTTAGGCAAGGCCGATCCGCTTGCTCTTTGTGCCTTTCGGAGGCACAAGTCACCACGAAGGCCCTCCTGCATCAGCATGCTATCTTATAGTGTAACTAGCCCGTGTCAGACTCTCCGCGACCAACTAGCGTGGAGACCGTGAGTAAACGCACAATCATAGCCCAGCACATCAATAATTAGCGGTACCATGCATGCGCCGAAGGTTTGCACTTCAGTGCTTTTCATTATCGGGGTGGTCATTTTGCTGGTGCTGTTTGGTATGCCGATGATATTGTTCTAGTGGCTGCCTCTGCTTTGGCTCCGACGCATGCATAATTATTTGCAACTTCTCGTGGGTTGCTCTTCAATGCTGACAAAAAAAATCTGTTTTCTTGCGGATAAACGACTTGCTTCTATTATGTTCTATAACACCAAGTTGCAGTATCTTTTGGAAACATTCTCACAAAATTATAACCTGGATCACAGAGAAGACATTATCAGAGTTAAAAGAGATATCAAAATGCAAAGCTACAAGTAAATAAAAATTCTTCGAATTAAAAAAGTGTGGAATATATGGATGCCATAAGGAGTAAAGAGACAAGACAGGGATGACCTAGTGAACATGATGCAGTTGTACAATGGATGATGGCTACATACTTTGAACTGACATCGCTTGCTCGTGTAAACTTTCCTCCACACAAGCCCTATATTGTTGCCACCTTTACTGTTTGTTTAGTGAAGTGCGAGGACAATGGTGAAAGTATTCTGTATGTAGATGGCCAAGAACGCAGCATTGTAAAACTGGTTAGTTGAGCAAATGTAGTAGAAGTCTTAGACTTCACACAATCCAGTCACAACTGAAAACTGAGTAGATGGTATTACTTATGAAATAAATCATAGCTGTGCATCATAGAAGGGAGCAAACTCGTACTTCGTGACAATATAGGGCTTGTGTGGAGGAAATTTTACACGAGCAAGTGATGTCAGTTCAAAGTATGTAGCCATCATCCATTGTACTACTGCATCATGTTCACTAGGTCATCCCTGTCTTGTCTCCTTACATTTTATGGCATCCCTATATTTCACACTTTTTATTTTATTTACTTGTCTCCTCTTCTCTTTTTACTGCATTCACATGCATGGTGTGCAATAAAAATAAAAAGGGATATTTTTGGGCATAAGCCCATAAAAAGTAACATTAGTGGCCTTAAGCTATCACCTCGGATGTTTTGTCGTCATTCACATTACATCAGTGCACCAAGTTTCATTGTGAGAGGACCTGTCACAAGCAAGTTATAGGCACTGACACCGCTTAAAAGTTTTTTTGCCTGAGACTGTTTGTTGTTGTTTACAACCTTGTATTTTCTTTTTCGGTGAACTCTTTATCATGGTGAATCAGTGTACCAAGTTTCATTGTTAGAGGACCAAACATAAGAAAGTTAGAGGCACAAACACCATTTTATTGCCTGAGGCTGTTGTTGTTTACAAGCTTGTAGTTTCTGTTTCGATGAACTCTCATCATGGTACATCAGTGTACCAAGTTTCATTGTTAGAGGATCAACCATAAGCAAGTTAGAGGCACAAACACAATTTACAAGTTTTTATTGCCTGAGGCTGTTTCTTGTTGTTTACAAGCTTGTAATTTCTGTTTCGATGAACTCTCATCATGGTACATCGGTGTACCAAGTTTCATTGCTAGAGGACCCACCATAAGCAAGTTATAGGCACAAACATCATTTACAGCCTGAGGCTGTATGTTGTTGTTTACAAACTTGTAATGTTTACATTATGTTACTAATGATGGGTTGCATGTGTGTACAAAGTGATATCATTCTGGGTAATTTAGCGCACTTTATTGGTCTATATCATAATGTAAGGCCTGGGGCTTGGCCCTAGTGCTATGGCATGCGCCTGATTTTTATTATGATTAAGGACCAAACTTGATCAGACACAGATAATACGCTCAGGATCATTTCAGTTGGTACACCCACCATATTCGACACTTTATATTTTCGAACACTACTATGGTTGTCAATAGATTAAGGACCCATTAATCATTCAACCTTAACTAAACTCTCTGTCTAACCCTTCCTATGTACAATATACGTATTTACTGAGTTTTGTCCAAATATCATAACGTTGGAATATTGTTAAATGAAGAGTATTAGCTAAGGAACCAAACTTGATCAGACACAGATATTACGCTCAGATCATTTACATACACGCAACATGTCCGATTGTTTCATTAGCGTACTTCAATAGATTAGGGATCCCACTGCATATTTCAATAATCATTAAACGTTAATGTTGCAAAACTCTAACTCTCTCTCTAACCCCACCTGGATGTATACATATGTTTACTGAGTTTTGTCCAGAATCACTAACGGAAGTAGGTGGACATCTCGTTAAATGAAGAGTATTAGCTAAGGAACCAAACTTGATCAGACACAGATAATACGCTCAAGATCATTTACTACACTCACCATGTCCGATTGTTTTCATTCTCGTACTTCAATAGATTAGGGACCCACTGCCATATTTCAATAATCATTCAACTTTAATGTTGCAAACTCTAACTCTCTCTCTAACCCCACCTGTATGTTTACAATATGTTTACTGAGTTTTGTCCAGATATCATAACGTTAAAGGAGGTTGGACTATCGTTAAATGAAGAGTATTAGCTAAGGACCCAAACTTGATCAGACACAGATAATACGCTCAAGATCATTACTGTTGGTACACTCACCATATTATTCGACTGTTTTTATCTTCGTACTACCTGGTCAATAGATTAAGGACCCACAGCCGTATTTCATCAATCATTCAACCTTTATGTTCTAAACTTTCTGTCTAACCCAACCTGTTTGCTTATCACGTTAAAGTAGGTTGGAATGTCCGATACTTCAATAGATTAGGGACCCACAGCCATATTTCAATAATCATTCAACTTTAATGCTCCAAACTCTAACTCTCTCTCTAACCCTACCAGTGTACCAAGTTTCATTGTTAGAGGACCCACAATAAGCAAGTTACAGGCACAAACATCATTTACAAGTATTTATTGCCTGAGGCTGTTTGTTGTTGTTTACAAACTCGTAACTTCTGTTTCAATCAAGTCTCATCATGGTACAGCAGTGTACTAAGTTTCATTATTAGAGGACCCACCATAAGCAAGTTATAGGCACAAACACATTTTACGAGTTTTTATTGCCTGAGGCTGTTTGTTGTTTACAAACTTGTAATGTTTACATTTTAATACTAATGATGGGTTTCATGTGTGTACAAAGTTTTATCATTCTGGGTATTAGCTTTACCCAGTTAGCACACTTTATTTGACTCTATCATAATCTATTGCCTGGGGCTATTTGTTTACATGTAAACAAAACTGTTTACGAAGAAATAAAAATGCTCTTGCACGACCTATCATGGATTCCAATATCTGTGCAAAGTTTCATATCCATATCTTACCCGGTTTTTTAAATACGCTCGTCTAAACTGAACAACAACAACCACAACAACAACAAGAAGGACAAGTGACTTTTTGAAAAAATCAAGTACCGATTATGCGACTTAAGCTATTTCATGGACATGCTCTTTGTGACAATCTGATGTGTCAAAAGTTGGATCTGATTGAGTGAAACATGAAAATCTCAAATGTATGGGCAGGACAACCTGTGTCATCCCTGTATAATATACTAAGTACTACCGTACTTAGTGATTATGAAATATTGATAGATTATGTTTTGTTTCCAGATATATGCTAAGTTGGAATATCGTTAGATGAAAAGTGTTAACAAAGAAAGTCTGACAACTGTATTAATGTGTTTTCTATAGTCTCTTTACTTTCCCAACAGTAGTGAAGTGTTGTGGATATCCTCGCACTAAAGTAATGCTGATCGTCAATTGGATTATTATCGATTCCTATAATATTAATCCACAGCCATCTGTTATGGATATTAGTTGATAAAACGATTATACGTAGTGGAGAGTGAAAAGGTAGATCACGCGCACGCGCGAGGCACGCGCGACGCGCTGCGACGGTAGTCGGCAACGGGTTAAAAACATTTTGCGTGGGTCCTTAGGTCGGTCCTAAGTGCGCTTTTACGTGCTATAATACCTCGGCTGTCAGATGGTATGGACAAGCTATTGGAAGAATATTCTACAGCTGATGCTGTTGCTGAAGAGATCATCAGTGAAAAACACCAGGTATATATTCTGGCCATGTGACCATCATACGCTTACCAAGTAAACGCCTAGATTTCTGATTTGGATAGGAAACGAAATAGTGCCCGGGAAGCACTTCATCACTTGAAGAAGATCCAGCCAAAAACGGCAGCAAGTAATAATAGGTTTTTTTCCTCAAAAAAATAGGGTTATGGTGCTTTCCCTAGGTTCTGCATCATGGATATGCTTTGGCAACACCTTTATTAAAATGGACACCCCAAGTAGCATCAAGATGCTAGAGGAAGGTAAGTTTGAACTCAATGTTACGTGATCTTGTTAGGTATTCTTTTCACTACAGACTACAAACAACTTAGTACAGAGATGGAGAAGTTGAGGGAAGGCCTCAAACCCAAAGTTGCTGCTCTACACAAGTTGGAAGGTGAGCAATATTATAGGACAGCAGCACACTGAGAACAAGGAAAGGATGGCATGTAGTCAAAGAAAGTTCGACTGAGAACAGTGTTTCCACGCCCCCAGGTGTTACATGGACGTAGGATGTGTTTTACATTAACTAGCGTCGTTCCCAGGCCCTTTTTGTTTGGAAAAGGGCCTGGCACAATCTGTTCACGCATGCGCAGGATATTCCGTAAAACCTCTGTAAAATATTCCGTTTACATAGGCTCAAATTCCCCAGAGAACGTTTACCAAGCCTCATGTTGGGCTAAAAACATGGCAAATGTACACATAAGATGCGACTTACTTGGTAGAATGCTTACGTCGTCTGCAGCCTATCACAGAAGGCTGTGTAGGTCGATCTTCCTCAAATTTGTTGTGAAAACCTCACATGTATCGAGTGTGACTACTGTGAATAGGAAACATTTTGCTAGACTTCTTTCTGCGCACTATACACGCAGCCCCATCTATAATTATTATTTAGCCTCATTCCCATGTGGTCCGGTTTTTGTGGGGGGAGGAAAAACTGCAGCCCATCCCCAGAAAGTTGGGGATACCGGATATCTTTGAATATTGTCAACATATTCTCCCCACGGTGCATTAGTATACTTTAGCCGCCTACCAGTGCATTAACCACAGTTGCATAACAATCGATGCAGTGTTTCTAGGTGCTGTAGAAGCTCTTAGATGCATCAGCACCGATCTAGAACGACTGTAGGCCACAGGAGGTTTTTTAAAACGTCAGTTTTGCAGGTATTTATATTCGGCAAAGCCATCATAACAGCTTGAAAAACAGCAGTGCTTAGTCATAAACCCACTACACTGCGATAGAAATCTGTTTATCACTGCCTTCCCTACACAGGAAAGGCTGAAGCAAAGGGATTCAACCTCCAAGGAATGAGAACTGAGGAGCTTCTCAACTTATGACAAAAAATTGTACAATGCATAATATTTGTGCTACATGATTTGCAATGCTGATAGTCCAGAATGTTTTCTCTTCCTCTGGCAAGCAGCAGTGTGCACTTTAGTCAAAAATTCTGGCATAGCTGCATGGAGTAGAAGGGAATAGACCATATTAAGCAAGTACACTAGGTATTTAGAGCACAATGCACTTTGGATCATCAACATCTCAACTGCTAAACCAGGGTTTGAATACAGTAGAACCTCTCAATGGCTGACGCGGCAGCACTATAGGACTAGCATGTGCTCGCAACTGCCCTGAAAAATGTGCTTAAACAATGCGACATCAATTATAAGCCAACTATATAGCACTGCTAGGCCACTGCTGCTGTATTTGTAGTTCAGTGCGCTGTATATAGCGGTTGTCTAAACATCTGTGAAGGTTACTTGGCGAGAGTGTACCTCAATCCTTGCCCACACAATGCTTTTTGTGACTGGCTTAGGATTTAAACACCTGATTGTGGCCATAGGTTAGGAGAGTAAAGACATTGATTTTAAGATCTGCATGTGAGTGCCGAAAACAAACTATACTTTGAGCAGGATGGTGTGGTTCCATCAGAATGTCTTGTATATCAGAAGTCTGTTTGTACAGTGCTACGGTTGCTGGGACCAAGGAGAATAGATGTGTGTGCTTAGGAGGTTGCTAAGCACACTTTAGCGTAACGGTGATGTACTTATACATGCTTGTGCATTAGGATATCAGAGAGCTTCTGTTAATATATAGAGGTTCTACTGTAAGAGCATTATGGTCTACATTATTCCATACCTGCTGTAGCAACCCAATTAACACAAGAAGATGGAAGGTTTGTCTGAGGGTTATCAAAGTAGGTCACTTCATACTCAAATCCATCCTAGAAATAGAAGCGTGCATAACATTGTGTCAAAATAAAGGTATGCACACTTACATAGTAAAGACATCTATATACACATCAGAAATTTGGTTCTTGTTTCGAACTGCTGGCAGCATTGTAATGGAAAGGGAGTTTACCCAAGCAACTACGCTATGCATAATACTCTGCATGTCATGCATGAAACAATGGTGGAGAATTTTAATTCGGCGGAGTGGCAGATGTACATAGAACCACCAGATAAAATTCCACCAGCATTTACTACCGCAACAGGTTTATGGAAGATGTACGTGCTCAATGGCGCTGTTCTTTTCAGCCTCTTTGTCGCAGGAAGTTGGTACACAAACACCCTGAGGTAATGGCAATCTAGGACAATCAGCATGGCTGAACACAGGCTGTATGCAATAGGTTTACCCATACATCTTGGCAGAACGGCTCCAAATACGACAGTACATAGATATGGTCCTCCATTACGGGCAACACTGCCACCTGGCCGCCACTACATAGTGCTTACAAGTCAGCACCTCTCCAATGGTTGTTCTTTTGTGGATAACTAATGACGGTTTTGCGTGCACAGCTAGGAAAGACAAGCCTCTATTGTGTGCCATCACAACAGCCACTCCTTCACGTGTATACACACACCGATGTACGTATCAGCTTTCACTCGAGATCGATCCGGGCGGTAAAAAAAGCAAATCCGAAAAATATATGCATTAACCTGAGCCTGGGGAAGTGGTTGTGTAAACATACTTTACTTATGGCACACGTCTTTCTAATATGGGACATAGAGCTAACTTTTGACTAAGGTTTCGCAAAGGATATATACTATCAGAACGGGAAAGTTGCAAGGATTCCAATAGTGTTAGCGTTTTTACTACTGCATGTAAAATTAAAGTTATGACAATTTTTTGAGGTCTAAGGTGAAGTCAAATAGACCTAAGATGGTATGTTTAATTCTTGACTAACATATACATGAATGTAACAGGTTAATATCTTGCAACATTACCTCGTCACTGGTAGTGTGAGGATGCATCACAGTATGACTGACATAGTCCTGAACACGTACAGACTTCCTGCTGACTGGCATGGCCGGATGATTTACAGACCTAGTGTATTTGAAGGCAAAATTGAATTATTCTCAGTATAATTTGTCCCCTCATTACCTGTTGATAAGTACCGCCACATTCTTGTTAATCCACATCCTTCTTACATAGAGATACTCTCGACTGGACATGGGGAACTGCAGAGTAACATTTTATCATAAATACCCATCGTACAATGGAGCAACTGTTTGTGCAAAGTTTAATGACGTGTATGGTGTGTGTGTTGATGTGTCTGTACCAAAATATTTATAGGCAAGCTCATACATACAGTTGTAGTGGGCACAGACTGATCCTTGCATATAAATCTGACCCAGCTCTTTTGGACATTTGAGGAGGTAGGTAAATAAATGTTGTGCACAAACGCACGCACTTGCTTTGGTGAAATTTTAGCCAAAAGAGGCTAAGTTTATGCTCTGGGGTTGTGTGATATTCTGCGGCTATGGAAGTCTAAGTATGCTCCAGCAGGATCAGATTGCACAACTGTGTACTATGGTTCAGTGGTGTCCCTCTAAACCTATTTCTAAACAGTTTACTGGCATACCGGAAATTTCATAACCCAATGGACAACTTCTGTGCCAGTTTCGGGATCAACTTCCACTGTCTCCAACTTCTGTACATATGAATCCCACTCTTTACGGCATGCATGATCAACCTGTTTAGAGATAATAGCAGTCCTGTGGATACACTCTTCTCAACAGAGAAAACACGTACCTGTACATCCAAGAATTCCTTGACAGAAATGTCGGTAAATCTTCCAATAACTAAAAGAATGACACACAAAATAACACAATTTGTACACACTATAACGTGATATTTTTGTAGTAGCCTCATAATCTAGCCTACAAGCTCCCTTCCTTTCAAGCCCACTGCTGGGACACAAACAATGGCGGACCCATCCACGGAGAGAGAGACAATGTAATAAGTAAGTGAACCTTTCATTGTTGCTGAGCGGACGCATAACATGAGAATCACACGATACCCATTTACACTGTATTATACAACTCTGCATTATTGCAACTTTTCTTGGGCAAGATCACATTGAATCTATAATCATTGCTTACCTTTGTACATGAAGAGACCCGATTGATGAGGCTTCCTGTAAACTGTGCAACTTTCTGCTTCTGCAAACCGCTCCCACCCACTCTGCTGAAGGTATATGTCTGGGAGGAAATAGAGTGCAATGCTTTTAACATACATGTGGGAGATACTACTAACCTGTGTCTGTATGTTGATTTCTGTTCTCGTTGGGGCATTCCGGAAACGGACGTGAAGATTGGACTTGATCAGCTTGGTGTGTGAGTACAGATTCTTGTGAGGTAGACATGCCCTTGTCAGCACCTGCTCTGCCATTGCTACTACTTTCCAAATCCTCCTTTCTGTTTGACATGGAGTCAAATGTGTCCAACACAACACGAGCAGAGGTGCACAGGGAGAGTAATTCTTTGGCCTGCTTTAGAGCAGAGTCTAGTGCATCTCTTACTGACAAGTTTGAAAATCCTTCTGTGACCAAAGAGGCACTGTCGACCTGTAGCCCCAAGAGTGACGGAGGAAAGACAGAGAATGAAGGCATATCCCACAGAGATATCCCGAGGTGAGCCAGAAACAGTGCAGCACTGTGGACATTTGAATCCCTCACAAACAGCTTCCTGCTCAAATCAGCCACGCTCCTGCTGAAGTTGTACACTGAACCAGGGTTTTGCAGGCCTACTAAAGGGAGTTCGGCCATGTGTCGCTTGGAGTGTTCCACATAGCATTCACACATTGCGTCAGTAACTGCTTTCACAGCTTCTTCAGAGACGGCATCTTCACTAACAGGTGCTGTGTCGGTTAACTCATATTCTTGAGAGTCACAGAATTCTTTAAATTCCTCACGTTCAACTTTGTCCCATGACCTGAGTGGCTTGGTCATAGCTTCACTCAGCCTACCAACTGCTCCAAGTGTAACCCTGTGTACGGCTTCACCTGCCATTGCACTTGCACTTGACAGGCGCCCCATTCGCTGTAGTCCAACAAGTGGTAATTGAGACAAATGTTTTTCGGAATGTTGCTGTAGGAGCAGGTTTAGCTGGTGCTTGATACGAGAGGTGTTTTCTGTGCTAGGCGCCATCTCTTGCCAAGATGTGCAGGGAGCAGTAGTGGAGCTCACTACTGGCGATTCCTCCAGCATCATATGGAGTTGAGACTTTACTCTGTTGTCATATTCCTTCAGACAGCTACATGATAAAAAAGAGAGTACACTGTGAGATATGGCCTCGTACACAGGCCCCTTTCGGGGCAAGAGGGGTTTGTCCACTGAATCCACTCCTTAGTTGCAAGCATCGTAATCTTGTCCAAGAAGTCCCAACTACCGCAGTACTACGAGTGTCATATCCAAATAATGCACACTCACCAATGGAGTTAAAACAGGCTTTAGAATGTTGCTGTACCGAGCTAATGCCCACGTTTCAAATTCAAAATTTCCAGTTTCAGTGGACAGATGAACTGACGCCCACAACACACACATACATACTACTACTATATTCGTGACCCTCGCAAAATTTCCCCCCAATAATTACAAGCAATCAGCAATCCGTATGACCCTCAATCTATGCAAAATAATTAGATATAGGTCCACCGATCTCATGGGACTGTCACGTGGAAGAAGGGCCTGCCGAAGTTCTTACTCTCGTCATACAGCACCTTTACAAGAATGCCTACAACCTCAGGGGTGCTCCCTATGTTTGTTGCAAGCACCCTGTCGTATTGTACACATGCAAGAAGCACTGCCTCAATACTACCTTAGCACAAAATTCACAATATCTAATGCACACTCCCTTCGGAAGCTAAACCAGCTGTTTTGTTTCCCTGGCTTTTCCCCCTAGCTTTTACATGGGCTAGCTACTGTATGTAGATTAGTAGATAACATCGGAGACTCAACATCCACTCTCTGTTGTAACTTTTGATGCCTCCACGTTATGCAAAAAGATAGAATGTGGTCAAGGAGAACAGGTGGTAATTTGCATGTTGACTTGAAGCCTCTGCCAACTACTATGACACCAAAAGTGGTTCGTTCAGTTATGTAGTTGCATACGTGTAACATACAGTTCCCAAAGTGTGTGAAACTTCCAACAATGAAATTGCTGCCACTTGCATTCTAATGTAGGGAAAACTAACAATACACTGACAAATACCTAATAGCGTCATCAGTCGGAATTCTTTCCCTCTCCCAGAGAAAAGCTATTGCTCCACTGAACAGCAGTCTGCCACTTGGGTGATTGCCTTTCTTCAAACCTGCAGCCAGCCCTCGCAGCAGCTGCCACAGACCAGAGGTTCTTGACCTGCATAATAAGATATATAGATACAGTGATGTAGCACATTTTAGTGAACAAGTGTAAGTCATTCATAGCGTATGATTGTATGATGTCATCAATATTATGAATATCTGGGAATGGTGGTGTTTGTAACTTGTAAATTTTACAGAGGTCCATACAATACTCGGCGAACTCTATAGTGTACTCATTCACTGCCATCTTTAAAAGTATATCATGAAGCAGGCAAGCTCTTTTTTATCATGGTTTTTAGCAGTTGCAAATGAGTGCATTTTAGCACTTCGGCCATGAGCTATGACCATGACCTTTGTGTATCTTGTGTTCTAAAATTAACTGCTGACAGTTCAGTGCTGATGCCTCTGGACTACTACAGTTCAGCTACTACAGTTCAGCTACGGCATAGACAAAACTGTACTCATGGACACTCAAGCCTCAACCACACCCCCTCCCAAAGCTAAACATCTAGCCATTCAGTTTCGACATTCATACGAGAATTCACTCTACAGAACGGAAAACCTGGGGGACATACCCGGTAGTGGTTACAACTGATCTGGGAGGATTCAGTGCTTTGACGAAGACAGGTCTGTTGTTCCTAAACAACGCGCACCGCCGAGATACCGGCTGCACTTCAGTTCGAAGCGAGCGAGCAGTCAGTCGCCAAAACCAGGACGGTAATGACATGACGAAATACCTGCGTGAAAATAGATCATTAGCGTCATTAGCTATGGTGAAACTTAACCAGCTTACTTTTAAAGCCAAGGAACGAAACTGTACCCGGCTAGGCTGTGACTTCAGCAGCTGACGACCACACAACGGGCGATCGACGAGCGCGAGGACGCAGACCAACACGCGGAAGTGACGCCGCCCGCAAGAAGACGCGCACGACGCAAATCGCGCATGCGCACAAAATGTAGGGGGGGCGGTTTGCTAGTATATAGTAGCTAGAGGCTAGCCGAGGGGGGCTGAGGTTTGCAGATGGCTAGCTTACAGCTGTCTTCTGCCAGCGATATGTCAGCTGAGGTGACAGCACTGATGGATTTCCTTAGAAATGGTTAGTTTTAGCGGTTTTTAGCTGCAGCACGTGAGCTGCTGGAACTATTGCTGCAGAGACTGCAGCAGTCAATGACGACGAGAATGAAATTCTTCAGACTACAGTACAACTTTGCTCTCTCCTCTCAACCATTGTAAGAAAGCTAAGACACAAAGACATGTTGCATTATTTGTGCACTGGTGCTACAGTTAGCCTGACCCCACCCTCAAAAAGGTCAACTTGTGCAACAAATGTCGTGGGTATCAAAACTTCTGACGTTATAATGGCTTTTCCCTCCTCCTGTGTTTGACCTTTGTATGGCGCGCCGTTTGTGGTTTGTTTCCCCCCGTAAACCTCTGTAATCGGGGTGACGGATCGTTTTCGGGACGATGAATTGTTTTCCCGTCAACGATTCTCCTTCCACGGCGACGTATCTCTTTCACGGCCACGATTGTTTATCAAGCGACAGAATTCTGCCATAAAAGTGTTTTGAGGCGGCGACATGGTGAGGCAAGACTGCGACGATTTTTCATGATCGGGTGGGAGAGTTGTAAGGTCAACTTTCCTAGACTGCCTAGAGGGTGCCTGTAGCCAATACAGTACATGATCGGTCCCTTCCAAAGTCCTGCCTCTGAGGTTTTCGAGTAAGTTAACCTTTGAACTCTCCCACCCGGATCACGAAATATCATCGCAGTAGGGTGCCGTATAACTAGTCGTCACCCTAAATCCAAGATTAGTTCCCTTGAGAAGCTTTCGTCTCTTCATAAACAATCGTAGCCGTAGAATCGTCGCCACGAAAATCCATCCGTTGCCCAGAAAGCCCCGATTACAGAAGTTTACGGAAAAAATCGTTTTGACACAAACGGCGCGCCATACCTTTGAAACATGTGCAACTGGAAGAATTCCATGGTACAAGCGTCATGCTACGTCACACGTACATATAAATCCTTTGTATTGCTTACGGGCGCGACATCTTTCGTGGCACATGCCACGTAATTAAAATCTAGGTTTGTAATAGCCCCAGGCAATACACATAGGATTGATGATGGCGATGTGCGCACCAGTAGAGCATACTTGCCATGATCAAAAGTACTGGGTACATGCCTTTGTTGCAACCACAGCACAATGGACATGCCGCCCTTCTTAGGGTAGGCACTACTTTTTTGTGAGGTGGGTGCTACTACTAGCCAATAAGATCATACCCTGAAATACGTCGATGCTGGGGTAACATGTACGTACCAACCATCATTGCTATCCAAATGTGAACATGAGCATGTTTAAGAAACAGGTTAAGGCAAAACATAATTGTGTAAATGGTGATTGTGCTTATTATGCTATAATAAAGAAACTTGGTACACCGATATTCTATGGTTAGATTTCAATATCACATGTTGGTAAACAATGACTAACTAACTGCCTCAGGCATGCAAATCGTGTTTGTGCCTAAAATGCTGAGTCCTGTTGCGCAAAAGCTTGGTACACTGATGTATAACCATGATGCAAGTTCTTTTAGACATATTTAAACAACAACAAACAGCCTCAGGCATTAAAAATTGTAAATGGTGTTTTGAATGGCAGCGTAAAAGAAACTGACATTGCTTGCTTTGTAAAGTTTACTTCACACGAGCCCCATTTTGTCACCACTTTTTAATACTCGCAACATGAGTTTGTTTAATGAATGATGTAAATTCTGAGGATGATAGTGAAGGGATTTTGTGAGGGACAAGACTCCAGCATTGTAAAATTGGTTAGTTAAGTGAACATGAAAGCAGTCACAACTCGAAACCGAGAAGCTGTCAGAAACGTGCATTAGCTGTGTCATCTGCCATATTATGTCTAGCTAAACATTATACAGGGAGCACATCAATAAGGCTTGTGTGGGGGTAAATTTACATGAGTAAACTATGTCAGTTTGAATCTATTATTATATTTAAAGGATACTTTGAGGGTAAAAGCACATGAACTGTTGGAGGCAGAAACCATTTCAGCCAGCAAGCTGCGATTTAAGCTGAACACCCTGCGGCAAACGTTTGAGGTAGAGTTAGCAGGTAACCAATCAATGTGCTACTTAGAG